GACCTGGTAGTTTGCAAGACACACCAAGCATATGTGTATGTATGCCCCAAATCCTGAGAAATGGAGGAAAAAGGATGGTGGCATGATCATACTCCACTGAGAGGACTCTCTCACTCTCTCTCTCTCTCTCTCACTTTCTCTCTCTCTGGTGAGTGCAGGCACCTTCTGACAAGGAGGCAAGGAAGAAAGGAAAGAAAATATCCTGAGAGAAAACAGAGCAGAATTTTAAAGGTGATGGACTCTAGATTTTTACTTAATTGTATCCTTTGTTTTTGTATTTTTCCATGTGTGTATTGTATCATTTTCTTTTGTATTTTGTACAATAGAAGAATAGTACCTTTCTAGGCAGGAAAAACCACCAGCAAACATCTATTTCAAGTGCTACGAGCTGTGTTAGCTCTCCCACTCCCAACCCCACCCCGACCTGCAGTAACTTTCTACCCTCAGCCAGGTCCAGGTCCAGGTTTCAAATCATGTCTCTGTCCTCCCCATCACCCCAGGCTTCCAATAGGATGGACCCCAGGGTGGCTTCGCCCTCGACCCACACTGAGCATCCTCCCCCTGGGGGACATCCGGCTGCCGCTGCACCCTCAGCAGACACACTCTGGACGAACCGCCTGGGGCTTTCACTCCAGGATCATCTGAAAGCTTAACGGACCTTGGCCCGAGGTCACAGAGCAATCATGTCACAGAACTAAGAGTTCTCTCTGGCACACCACGCAGCCTGAACCCTTCCCTCCCACCAACACATTTTAGTTTAGTTTTGCTATAGGGAGCATGCAATCAGTGGAGACAGAGACAGAGGAGGTGGGAAAGCGTTCCCCTGGGGTGGGGATGGCCGTGCTGCTGCAATCCATTCTCTTCTTGGGAATTTGGGCATGCACACATATGCAGCTGGCATGGAAACCCCACCCCCTTCAGGGGAGTTTTCAAGCCACCAGATCCTGGACTCATTTGCACAGTCGGCCATGTGGGATCCAGCCACCTTAACCTCCACTTGACCTGCTGGCCCCACACGTGACATTTTATATTGAACACCTGCCACACCCTTCAAGGAGACATACTTCAGGATTATTTTTAAAGTATCTTACCTAGAAGCTTGCACTGAGCTGCAAATTGAGAAAGGTGAAGGCAGCAACGGCCTTATTCACCACTGCAGCCTCAGAGCTTCCTGAGGTACCTCAACCGTCATTCCTAGAGTAGGCACCTTTTCACATTTTAGCATCTCTGAAACTGGCATCGCGTTTGCAGTCAATCACAGGTCGAAGTGTAATCGGCAGCATTTTTTCTCCCTCAGTAGTAGGTCAACCACCATGCAGCATACATTCATTGATGGCGTCTTGGATTTAACGAAATAAGGTGAAATGTGGTTAGAGCAGCCAGAACGTATTTGTCAACTAAATAAATGTGCCAATCGCTGTGCTCAGGTTCTACCAGCATTGCCTCATTTTCTCCTCCTCCAAATCCTCCTCAGGTGGAGACGTTGTATTCCCATCTTACAGATCAGAGAACTAAAACGAAGAGCAGCGAGGACACTTGCCCACGTGACATGGGAAGGGTGAAGTCAGAACCCACCTCCAGCTCTGGGTGGGCCTCGTTTCTGCTGTACCCACCAGGAGATCCAGCCGCCCAGGAGAATGCGATTTCCTTGTCTATGTGTAACCAGCATCTGGTTCGCTCTGCTCTGAAGGGGTTCCCAGAACATGAGACTTTCAGTATGAAAACTAGGGAAGTCCTGATGATCCAGGAGGGTCGACTATCCAGTCACTGAGTCCAACAGTCCTCGATGCACCCTGCCTCTCCGCCTGCTCCATCCACACGGCCTCTGTTGTCCAGGGCCAGCACCTGAGCAGGCCCCTAGCCCAGCCCTTGGCCCCCAGGCCTGGCAGGTTCCCTGGGCCTGTCTCTGAACGGGTGGTCCCTCCACTCTTCAGTGCCACAGAGGCTGCCACTGTCCCTCCTGCCCTGAACGTCTGCTACCAACGGGTGCCAGGTCCAGATGTTCCCTGGACCTGCTGGGCTGTTTCCACAGCTGATGGAACATCTGGCCAGGTGCTCCCTGCTTTGTTGAAATTATGTACCGGGCTATGGCTCCTTAATTCCTGTTTCATGCTGCTACATGGGTTTGACAAGGAGCTCCATTTTTTCAGGTTCTAAGATACCACCAATACCAGCACATTTGGATCCAGACAGAAAGGCTCTTCTCTGGGAAGCCGCTCAGCTCCTTCCACTGAGACTGTAGGCATCTAGACAGACCCGAGTTTGTCCAGAAGTCCAAGCTGCCATTGTGCAGTGCTTCTCTGTGGGATTCCCGACTGGGGCTCTTATTGCAACGCAGATTCCCAGTCCCGGCCCGAGCGTGGTCAGTCTCCAGTGACAGAGCCCAGAGGTCTGCGTCTTACAGTCTCCTCAGGTGGCTCCAATACACGGACCATAGTCAAAGATAGTTTCAGGAGACCCCTGCTTCGGGTCTTGCCTCACTCCAACCCCATTCAGGTGGGTCCAGAGTCCTAGTGCCCGCACCACTGAGACCCTTCACCTCACTCCCTCCTCCTCGGTCAGTCACTGCTGTCCCCTGTATAGGCAGGGGGCTCTGTTCCCACTAAGGGGGCCATGGCTGCTGCCCCGGGAAGAGCCTGCAGTCACAACACGAGTACTCGAGGTGCGGCTGTTCAGAGCAAAGCACTTTGTGGTCCTACTATGCACAGACCCACAGGTACCTCTCCCCTGCTCTACCCAGACCACACCTGCCTCTGTCCCCCAGCTCTCCCTTCTCCCCACCTGGGAGACTCCCAGGGCTCCCTGGATTCAGGGCATCAGATTCCTCTATAGTCTTTGGACGTTTTACATCAATCATTAATTAACCAAATCACATGACTCCATCAATCTCGAGACGAGGTGTGGATTTTGCCCTCTGCTATATCCCCAGTGCTTAGCCAGGGTTTGGTACAGAGTGGGAACCTAAGAAATAGTTGAGCGAGTGAATATATAAAAACATCCCCACAGGATCCTTCCAAGCAATAACTATTATTATCCCCATTTTTACAACGGAGGGACAGAAGCACAGAGCAGTTCAGGAGTTTACTCATGCTGCCCAGCTACTGATTGCTGGAACAGAACTGAAGCCCACCCCGCCCACGGTCCCCAGGCCCCCAGGCTCTTTTCCACAGTGCTGCTGCATCTCTGGGAGAGTTCAGAGGCAGGCAGGCCCGGGTCTGCTTCAGCCACTGCTTTGCTTTCCACCCTGAGGCTGGGCAATGTCTGCATTTCTAAATTCTCACTCCCATTCTTGCTCCTGGACTTGCATTTCCTTTTCTCATCTCTCACCTTTGCACCTTCTCAAACTTCCCCTGTCCTGTCCACAGACAGAGAGAGCCACAGGGACCTAATGAGCCCTTGAATGGGAACATCTGAGAATAAAGGCAGACATGGTGCAGTCAGTCCAGAGTCATGCCTAGGTCATTCAGAGCCCCGCTGAGTCGGGGAAACAGAGGCAAATAAGTATCTAAAAGAAATAGTGCTTTTGTTCCTCTTAAAGTTTGTCTTCAATATGAAATAAAAATAGATTGAGAAAAAAAAAAGACTCCCAAAATGAAAAAGATGAATATTTGGAAAACTTGGAGAAATAGACATAACAATGATCATTGGAAATTGGCTTCCTACCTTTATAGCAAACCCTGATGAGATGCATCCTGAAGTGTAAACAGATCTGAACAATAAACTTATCGAACCATATACAATTATTTCTGGAGAGAAATGGATGAGCGGTTGGTTAGACAAATGGAAGAGGTGTGAATGATTCTTAACACTCTGATCTGGCAAAATGGTCCTTGGAAATTAATGGAACAAAAAATTATACCGGAGAAGAGAAGCATCATCAGGAGAAAGCACTAAACATAGGAACCATGAAATGAAAACGCACTCTTATGAATAAGAGAATTAATGAAATGAATTTAAGAAAAGGTCAAGTTGGGGAGAATATCAGATGGGCTGTAGCTCTGCAAAGCCCCGAAATTTACTGTGGCATTTGAAGCATAGGACTTTGCAAGTACAGGGTCTCTGAAATCATCCATCCCCTGTCTTTTCTCTATAGATGAGGAACCCCAGGTACAGAGACAGTAAGTGACTTACCCAAGGCCACAGCTAGGTGGGAACCTGAATTAATGCCCAACTGGATCAAGAGAAGTTGCATTTCCTTCTATTCCTAACTGCTTTAAGGACAGAAGCATGCTATAGGGAGTGCTGAGAGTTGGGATAAGCCTAGAGAAGCTGGCTCAAGAGTCTCTGTACAGAGAACATGCTTCGAGAGCTAGAGAGATCTGGGTTCAAATCCAGCTCTACCAGTTACCAGCTGGGACCTCACAAGTCACTCCACCTTCCTGGGCCTCAGCCTCATTAGACAATGGGCCAACATTGCCTACTTAGCAGAATGCAACAAGACATCCCTGGAAAAGCGCCGTGTACATAGTGGAAACTCAGTAAATGGTGCTATTTTAGGTGTAACCAAAATTCCTTGCCTTGAAATTCTACAATTATCCAATAAGAAAAAAAAAAAAAAGCAATAAAAAGAAAACAAAACTTGACAAAATGAGCGCTCTCACAGGAAAATTAAAAACAGGAATGGAGTATAACCCAAAAGCTTATCTTTCCTTAAGAAGTAAAATGGCCCAGGATCGCAGGGAAAAATCCAGTCCATGGTGAGGAAGTGCTAGCATCTATTTCCCAGCGTGGTTCTTGGGCTCTTCTTGAAGATTAGGGCTGCCCTTCTCAGGATCATGCCCGTGAGGGGAACCTCCCTCTACAGGACTAACCTGCTCACAGCTGGTGGTGCCCGCTCTGCCCACTCTGTGCGGGAGTGGCACTCATTGTCAGGCCTCCATTTGTCTGACTGTGTCAGGAACAGGGGGCAAGGACCCTGATGAGGAGGCCCCACTTCCCACCACAAGGGGGCATCTGAGAGGCACTGTCCCCAGGAGCCGTTGGGCCGGCTGTCTGGCTAGCGCTCAGATTCTGCGGACGTGTAGCTTGGTAACATCAGGAGGCTGCTGAGGTGAGTCCACTCAGAAGGGCCCCAGAACACTCCTTCTTGCTATGGGAAAAAGGATGGCTTGAGTAA